AAAAACAAAACTAAAGCCAAGAGAAGGTTGTTATTCATTGTCTAATACAATGCCCCAGCTCAGTCCAGCCATCCCAAGCTCCTTGTCCGGGGGTGTGAGCGGGCACTGACCCCTTCCCAGGATCTCCATCCAACCCAGCGCAAGCAAAAGGGATCAGATACAAATCTCAAGCCCCTGAGCTGTTGCAGGGTGTCCTTTTGAAAACATTGCCACCTTGTGTCTCTTCAGACACCCGAACCTTCCTGCCGGAGCCATTGAGGGGTTTATTACCGGCAATCAGGGGCAATAAAGAGCCGTGACAGGTACAGATCGCCTGCCTGTGTCCTGTTCCTACCTTGTAAAGCCGGACAGGAACGTTCCCCTCATTTTTTTTTCATCTCAATTTATGACTCCTCTGCCATGAAAAGCCACTTACGTCCTCCACAGTTACATATAGCGTATCCTCCAAGGCCGGTAAATCACCGTCTCGAGTCATGTCAAATTTGGTGAAATAAAGCTAAATTGCAGTTGTACTCTAAGGCAAGAAGCTGCAAAACTGAGAGAGAATGAGCYCTGTATAAAGCCAGAAGCCCAGCTGGCAGCCTCCAATGGCTTGCAGAGGCAAGGATCAGAAAAACCTCGCAGTGAAAGAGAAAATCCTGACAGCAGGGACCCCACAGGACCCTCTGTGCCACCCCAAGCTGCCTCCATAAGTCTGCTGTGGGGTAATGCCAAGAGTTAAAATAGCCCAAACTCAGAGGATTCCACTCTATAAATTGAACTCCAGTCCCTCCCTCACAGCCAGAGCACCGAGAGCTGGGAGCACGGCAGAGCCAGGCTCCAGCAGCATTTATTCATTGAGACCTTGTTCCCRGCCTGAATTTGGGCTTGGAAAGAAAACCGGGGAGCTGATGGGGTTGTACCTTCTTGTTTTAAGTTTTGGGATTTGTTGGGGGTGTTTTTGTGCAGACAGAAGTTAGAGAAGTACTAACACACAAGGTTTTACTCTGCTGAACCCATTTGGGCTCACTCAAAGTTCTGGGCACTGCACCAAGAAATGGGGAAACTGAGGACAAAAAAAAACCTCTTGACCCCAAACAACCCTTTATATTTTTCAGGGGCACAGTGACTTGTCTTTTYCCTTCTGCAGCAGAGTTAAACTTTCATGAAAGCTGAATCAGCTTGGAGAAGAGCCAGCTCCAGGGACAGACAGCACACGGTGGAATAAGAGCGTAGAAGACCCAGACCACTGCTGTTCCTGCAAATTCCCCTCCCTGCATCCCACACTGT